CAGATGTGATGAGGGTAAGCACAAAATGGTTCTGTTTGTAAACTGTAAATTCAACCATGGTTCCCTCCCCTCTTTCTCTTGACGTTGCCCTTGAGGGCACAGCTCATCCTAAAGCTTGTAAGCCCACAATTTTGCACCTGGTTGGGCCATGGAAGCGAGTACCCAGTTAATTCCAGTTAATTCCTCAAGAATACTCCACAGGATTGTCGAAGGGCCCAAGTGTTTCTTATTCATGGGGAACAGAGGAAAGAGGGAGGAACTGAGGTGGTATAAGCTAACAGCTCTACACAGAGGGGACTTGGGGCACTCCAGTGACTGGAGTGTGGGGACCTTCGCACATAAAAATCCGAGGGAGATCTCTGGGCCCTGTGAGGAGCAGCGGAGGGTGCTCCTTTTTGATGTTAGTGTAGCATCCAGGAGTATGGGAGACAATGCCTGGAAGCTTGCTTCCGGAGACCGTTCCCAAACTTTTCAGTTTCACTTTTGGAATTTTAAGGATTTTGAATATTGGAGAGATTATATGGGATTCCAGAGAAGGGCTAGGGACATTCTTGCACCTGTGGCTCAGTTTCAGGATTTATAGACCATTCCTGATAGCGCTATTTTGCACCTTATGCCTGGCTACCCAGGGTTTGGGGCACTCAGCCTACAGATGCGGACTGGGAAGAGAAGGTCTTAGCCCCTGGTGGGAAGGAAGCTACTTTGGACCTGGGCTCACTCCGCTTTGTAAATCATTGCCAGTGCCTCCCACTCTCACCTCTCCATCCTGGTACCATAGCCCAAGGACCATCCTAACTACACCAAATGAATGGATTCAGGATCCATCAGGTTTGAGAAAAAGGCTGTCTTCTTTTCTGGGGAGATGGTGGTTGAGCTGTTTAGTAATGGGGAATAGGGAGGGAGTTTTGGTGTCTTAAAGGAATTGCTGGCCAAGCTGTCTTTGAGACAAACTTCTGTGACTTTCTCCCTACTGAGCACTGAATTTGCACTCCCTGGGGCCCTCCAAACCACAAAGAAATGCCTTTTAGATGTGTGTCTTTGCTCTTTCCTGGGACCTTCAATGGGCAGGAAAAATATCTGCATACCCTAATGAGTCCTTTGTGCCTCAGCCAAGTTCTACTGCTTGCAAGACTCATTCCTAGTCCGGTGTGAAGAGAACACAGTGAGTAAGGATGGGTATTTGGGCAGTCTTCATCTTAGAAAAAATAGCACCTACCACCCATCACTGTGTAAAACTAGCCTAGATCAGCTTATGTGACAAATTGAGTGTTCTATCTCCAGTTAGGGTACCGAGACCATGAACCTCACAGTCACTTTGGCTGAGAGATATTACAGATCACATTTTTTAAAAAAAAATGATGGCCCGACGGGTGTTGGTGGCTCATGCCTTTAATCCCAGCACTCCGGAGGCAGAGGCAGGCAGATGTCTGTGAGTTCGAGACCAGCCTGGTCTACAAGAGCTAGTTCCAGGACAGCCTCCAAAGCCACAGTGAAATCCTGTCTCAAAAAAACAAAACAAAACAAAACAAAAATGATGGCCCTTTGTGTAGGTATAAATAACTAGTTCCACAAAACCACAAAACAAAACAAGACCTCTTTTCTTTTATCAAAACCTTTGCTGCTTATGTTCATCAAATCCCTTTCTGCCCACTCTAGCTGAGGTGATATTTGCCGTTTTTTGTTCTTCATGCCAGTAATACCCCCAAAGAACTCTGGGAAGAAACAGGAAGTGTTAGCAACATTGCTCTTAGCTGAGCCTAAATACATGTGATTTCAGTTTACTTAATATAACATGTTGAATCTAAGTCCATATAGCAAAACCCCAAACTTTCTGGGGCCACATTTAAGTCTACCAGTTTGTTGCAGATATCAGAATAAGAGTTCTAGTTTTCTACGAGTTTTGTTTTGAACCAAAAAAAAAAAAAAAAGAAAAAAAGTTCTTCTGTGGGGTTTAAATGCCCTCTAGTTTGGTATAGTCAGTTTGGATAACACTTCTCTCTTTGTATTTCAGGATTTGGAACTTTTGTGTCAATGTAACAGTGCAAGTCTCAAAAGGAAATTTATCTTGTCAGGAAATAGGAAGCTCGTAAAGGCTTTTGTCCCAAAATGATGTTAAGATTTGTAGTTCAAAATACATTTTATGCCCCATTCCCAACTCTTTTATTTTTTATATATTTGAAATTCAAACAAGATTGAATTACATGACGATCTCAGTTCATTCCTAACTCTTATATCCATATTGCTTCAATAGCAACTTTCTGTCTTTGATCTACAATTGAAAGAAAACAGGGAAATTATACTTGTCTCAACAAAACAAAGGGTCATCCTTGTGCGTTAAGTTTGATAACCCAGGGATGTCTGCCTAGTTTGTATATAAGGAAAATTGTTGATACGAAGAGAGAGGGAAAACTTAGGAGGCCCGACCTTTAGTTTTAGTGATGGCTCTGCTGAGTTTGGGACCTGGGGTAAATGTAGATTTGATAGAATCTGAGCCTACTTGTCTACAAAACGGCATTGGATTGGAGTTTCACTCTGTGATGTCCCTGTTACCATGTGGGACCAGAAACAGAGACAAAGGCTATGATGTCTGTCCACACTAACATGCTCAAGAGATGCTTGAGCTTCATGTCCCCAAAGTGTAGTAAAACAGGACTGGCCTTAGGTGACAGTTGTGTGACATAAGGTCTGAGAGCAGCTGGTGAGTTGAGGCCACCGTGCAGAAGTAAGCACTGTTATTGTTCAGTGATGTAAGAGCCACATGGGCCTTGTTTTCATTTCTGCTCTGGAAAATAATGCACTTCCTGGGTTTTGTGAGGGTTTCTTTGAATACAAGTCTTGAAGAAATGCCGATTTAATTTGAGTCTACTCATTCCTAGGTCTAAAAGAGGCCTTTCCAGAAATCTCTGTGTACACCACTATCCCAGACTTGCTGGGGCTTGTTCAGACTGTCTTGGCTAATGGCTATGGTGTGTCTTGATGACTAGGGCATACTGGTAGCCAGTGAAAAAGTGTCCATCGTCCCCTGGGAGATTTAAAACTTTCCATTTGTATGTAGTCTTTGAATTTGGCCACTGGGCAGTCCATCCTTTGTAAGATCGGGTCAGTTCTTTTCCTTTTGTTACTTTTTACGATTTTATTTTATGTGTATTTATACCTGTGTGTGTATCTGTGCAGGAGTCTGTGGAGGCCAGAAGAGGGGTTTGGATCCTCTAGAACTGGAGTTACAGATGGTTGTGAGTCACCATGTGGGAGTGGAAGCCCAGTTCTCTACAAGAGCAGCAAATGCTCTCATAGTTGAGGAACTATCTTTTCAGCCCCCTGGGCAGTTCTTAAGAACAATACTTTCTTACTAAAGCCAATGTTGACTATGTCTAAATCACTATAAAGATAGCAATATGTAGGATTGTGTGTTGTAAATAGAGACTCTGGATAGAACTTTGGACTTAACAGGATATTGTATATTCATAGTCAGTTCAACTTTCTTCTGAAAAGATGCTGCTCTCACACCGACCACCTTGTTATCCAAAAAGCAATGAGTTAAAAGTGATAGCATTCCACTATGCATTCATAGTTACCTATTATACAAGATATGAGCCCTGTGTTAATCAGACTTTTCATCACTGACAAAATATATGACATGAGGAATGCAAGGAAAGAAAGGTATATTTCAGCTAGCTATTTCAAGGCTTCTGTCTATAATCCTTAACTCTTGTTTTGGAGCCTATGGCCAGACAAAACATCATGGTGGTGAGAGTGTGATGCAGAGGCTATTCCCCTCATGATGTATATGATACATGACAAGTGTGTGGAGGCAGGGTATGTGGCCACAAGAGGCAGCTCTTAAGAACATGACCCCAGTGACCTAATTTCTCCTACCAGGCTAGTTCTTGTCTTCTACTGTTTCAAGAATCTCTTCAAATAGCCCCACCAGATGAGAGCCAGCCCTTGAATATGTGAGGGGGGGTGTTAGTTTATGACCAAACCTCAACACTGCCAATTGGCTTTTCTTATATGATAAAATGGATGTTTTCCACACAGACTAAAGAAAAAAAATCTGTTGTTTTTATGATTTTCTAAAAAATAAAAAACAACCCACAAAAACCCAAACCCAAACAAACAAACCCCCAAACCATAAAGTAGTTTAACATAGAAATGGGTAGAGCATTGATAAAATAATTTGTAAATTGTTACAACATTTGTAAAATAAAGCACATGTTTCTGACCCTTTGGGGGACAGGAAGTAAATTAGAGAAGGCTTGCTTTGGTTTTTACCTGGGAGAATGAGGAATGGGGCTTCGCTGAGTTGTAATAAACTCAGAAAGGGTCACCTGCCAGGTATGCAGGTCACCCATGACTGTGGTCCACCAAGGCCTGAAGCTTGCTGGCCTTATTGAACAGTCACCCCTTGTATAATTGATCTATTGTTTTGTTTTGTGTTTTCAAAACTAAAACATCTAAAGAAAAAAAAATACTGCACATGTTGTCAGTGTAGTGATTGCAGGAACTTGCCAATGTGAAGGGATGGGATTTAAAGATTTTAGGACTTTTATTTATTATTATTGTGAGTGTGTATGTGTGCCTCTCTCCCTCTCTCTTCCTCTCTCTCCCTCCCTCCCTCTCTCTTCCTGTCTCTCCCTCCCTCCCTCCCTCCCCCTCCATCCCTCCCTCCCTCTCTCCCTCTCTCTCTCTGTGTACATGCATGTGCTGTGTAGAGGTCAGAGGACAGCTCTGCAGAGTTAGCTTTCTCTTTTCCACTGTGGGCTCCAGGAATCAAACTCAGGTCTTCAAGCCTGTATCTCCTGAATGGTCCTGAAGAAAGTGTCAGAACGACAGAGTGGTCGT